AAGCAAGCAGACAGTACCTTGAGTGTCTGATTGTTTGAGAAAGGGGGAATAACTTTTACTTTTAATTAGATGAAAACCATGGGTATCTTTAGAGTCAGTTTTCACCAGTCTGTGCCAATATGCTATGTCCAATAAACCTGTTCATTGAGAAACTTGCTTGCCTCGGAGTTCTGCTTGCTATGGGCATATTACTTGGACTCTGACACAGAATTGACTTTATATTGGTTTATATACTTGATTCATAAAATTTATTAAGACTACTCGGAAAGGATCTTAAAATTGGTGCTGACTAGCAGTGAAAAACTGCTGAAAATATGAGAAAATGAGAAATAGTCAGAGTTGATTAGTAATGAGAAAATGACACGTAGCTGGAAAGTATAATACACATGGATACTGCAGAGTAGCCTTTTCCAACCGGGCATTCTCCATTTGTGTTGGAATTGCCACTCCTGGTATTCCCAGCGAGGACAGCCAAAACATGGGAATGCATCAAGTTGGAGATACTTCAGAGTAAGTATGTTTTAAAATATTAAACTGAAAATGTCTTTCGTTTCAAGGCATAATTTTCCATAAAATTACATATTTCATGAAATAGTAATTTCATCTTTATACATTATACATATAAAATATCCTTCAACCTGTAATATTGGGGAACTACCTAGTTACCCAGCAGAGAATATTCTTCTAGTATGCTTGACATTCATTAGGCTTATGGGACAAAACAAACTATGCAACTATATGTATTAAGAATGTGATAGTTGAACAGGTTACAAAGTATCAACAGGTTTTTATGTACATGGTTGATGAAAGAGCTGTCCAATGTTCACATCAAACTTTTAATGAAGATGTACTGATTCTCACTCTGCTCAGACAACCTACAGGCATTGCTAACTTAGAAAAGCAAATTTATTTCTATTTCTCTTGGTTTCTCAGGGAGGCATCTCTGGCATTACTGCATCCTCAAGGTTAGGAGTATCAAACTGGATTCTTTCGAGGGTCGGATCAGCATTGTCTCCTCTGTGGGCTGGCGGTTGGGGGGGCGGTGGACGGATGCCTCCTGCAGCATCCTGCCCGCCAAAATGGGGCATGGGGAGTTCACAACAGTCACACGGCCCATTTTTGGCTGGCAGAGTGCTGGAGGCATTGGAGTGCAGCATGTAGCCTGTTTTAGGCACCAGAGGCATCGCAGGCCAGTCCCTTTATTTTTCCAGGCCAGCCCCACAGGCTGGATTTAAGCACCCCGCAGGCTGGATCTGGCCCGCGGGCCTTGAGTTTGACACCCCTGCTCAAGGCTGAAGAGACCACAGCTCACAGAAGTGGAATCCACATATTACTAGGCTTGATTTTTTTTCATTATTTTCAGAACAGAAATACAATTCTGCCTTTCTTGTTTTGTATTTTTTTTCAAAGAAATGCACTGTACAAAATCAGTGCCTACCCCTCCTAGAAAAATGAAATATTTTGAGGAATATTAAAAAAGGCAGAATATTATATTTCCTAAATGAGAAATGGAGAAACATGTTTTTAGAGGCAGAAGGCAAACCCCATTTTTCTTAACTGTCCACAACATGAGATAAAAAGCTTATTGAAAAAGACAAGAATATAGATAGTTCTATTCATAGGCAAAGCAAATACTGAAGGCAAAAATCTATTCAAGACAGAATATTTTGAAACTCCCTGCAGCAAAGTCTGAACAAAGGCAGAATGATGGGATTAGCCCTCACTCAAGACCCAAAACAGGAGGAAAGCCACAATAGGAATTGCCCAATGCCCTTTCAGAACACAATTCATTGCTTCATCTCAGGAGTCCAAACTTCAACCAAACCTGGAAGCTCAAACACTTAGGATTTGCATTTCGTCTTTTGCCTATGGAGCCAGTTATGACCCCTAAATGACCCCATAGTAATCTGGTAACAGCCAACAGAAGACACAAGAACAGGAAGCTCAAGTGCAAAGCTCAAAGAAGGTATAAAACCTCCCACTCTCAACTCCCATTTTGTCAGCTGCCCAGAACTACAAAGCCATGTGGTTCTGCTTCATCAATAAATGGACCCTCTTTTCAATCAGTCTCCAGCCTCTATTTTATTACCAAAGCCTTCCTCCTGGCTTGGAACTGAACCAGATGGATATGTCTTTCCACAGCACAATATTAACCTATGAGAGCTATCTGGTATAGTAGCCAATGTACCAACCAGCAGTTCAATCAACCTATTTCAGAACATTCTGGGGAGACTTCCGGTTTTCAGGGCTTTGGCGGCAGGCAGGAATCCGCGATTGTGCGTGGTTCCTGCCTGGGCTCGCCGCTGGAGCGTCCCGAGCCAGTTGGCTTCAGGGCTAAGCCACCCCGTAGAGGTGGCAAAGAGGGGGGAGATCCCAGCAGGGTCGAGGAAAGCCGCATCTTTCCTCCCCAGCTGGCTAAACTCCCTTTCCCGAAGGTGGTAAGAGCGGCGGTCAGAAATGGCCATCTCAAAGAAGCACTCAGCCGGAAAAGGAAGTGCAGGAGGAAGTTAAGAAGTGAAAGTTTTGGCTGACTGGGATAAGAAGCAACAACTAAGGTATCCTGGAATTTAAATTTTAAAAAAAGATACATCGCTCCCAAGGAAGATTCGGAAGCAGCGAATGAAAGTGAAAAGGGAAAGTTTTAAATTTTCACTCTCCTTCCTAACATTGACAGCGAACAGAGATGAATGAGAAATCGGAAAACCCGCTTTGGCATCAATAGGTAATTAAACTGGATAATTAAATGTCAAGGGGATAATAAGGATTTCTGAACACTAAAAAAACCCTTTTTTTTTTTGCTGTAAGTGGGAAGGAAGAGGAAAAGAATAAGAGCAGGATTCGGAAGGAGACTGCCTGGAATTTAAAAAAATCTGATTAAATCCTAACGAGACTTCTAAAAGATACATTTTAACTGGAACTTAGTAATTAAACAGTAACCCCAGGAAGAGAAAGTGAAAAAAGAAGAAAGTGTCAAAAGAAACAGCTTGTGTGTATTTGGATTGCTTGGTGACTTTGGGACTTTTGGAAATTATATTTGAATGACTAAAAATAAAAACACTTGGGTGGTTGTTTGAAAAAATTTTTTTACAATGGCATCACTTGTGGATGAACTGAAAATGGAAGTTAAAAAATACAAAGAAGAGGAACAAGAAGAAAAGGGCTCTCTTGGCTCTGTTTTTCAATTCTTAGAAATGGCGATCTGTACCTATGAGAAACTACAAGAAAAGACTGCGCAACAAGAAGATTGGGACAAAGAAGAAGCCATCTTTAATGAACAAGTAACTTTATCTGGGGAAGAAAGGGGAAAGGAGGGAAAGAAAATGGAGACTTTAAGACCTAAAAAAACAACCAAAAAAGGGAAAAATAAGGTGAAAAGTGGATATGTTAGAAAGCAACAGAAAAGGGGAACACAGAAGAGGGAAATGGAGGTGGAGAGACAAGGGGGTAAAAAGGGCAGAGAGAAGAAGCAAGGGAGGAAGGAAGGGAAGAGAAGCTACAAAGGTGTGGAGCAAGATGTAAAGAAACTGGACTTATTTAGAGATAATGGGTAAAAACTTAATTGAAAAAGTGATTCTGCAAAGGTACATAAGATTGTATTGTTATATTTGTATTAGAAATAATGTTAGAAAATTGGAAACAACATATGATTAAAGTGGGATAAAATACTCAGTGTAATTCAGTGAAACTTTTGTGAATAAAATAAATGAAATGAAATAAATGAGAGAATTGAATTAGGAAGGAATGAGAACATTTTAATGACACAATGTTTTAAAATATAAGTGAAGTGGGGGGGAAATAACTATGGAAAGTTTATAAGTGTTCCCATAGAAGTATGATACTTGTTTGAAAAGTAACGTGTAAAATGTTTAAGATTTAAATGAATATTAACGATAGATTTGAATTGGTATGGATTGTTGTTTTAATTATATTATATATTTATAATTTGTTCTCTTTTTAAAATATAGTGTGTAACTCTAGAATGTACTAAGCAGAATCCGAATGGAAGCTATGTATTATACTAAGTGTTATAAATTTAGGGGAAAGAGATAAAGGCGTCATACTCCAATCAGTGATTACAGGAGAAATTTTGTTTAATGAGAAAAGATAATAGACAGCTGGAAACAGGACAGACAAAGAATATAAGTATAATGATCTGAACTGAGATGAAATAAATAAAATAAAATTAAGAAAGTTAAAAGAGGGGAGAAGCTATATAGAAAATGTAGAATGGTAATAAGATATGGAATGGTATATAAAATGAACATGAATTTGAATTTGTGTTTGTATGAAGAGATGTAACCCGGGATCAAGCTGCTTTCAAAAAAGATGTTTTATGTTTTGTTTATGTTTGTTTTTAAAAATCAATAAAATTTAAAAAAGAAAAGAAAAGAACATTCTGATAACCAATCTGGAAAGTATTAATTCTTCTTCTTTCTATCCTGAATTTTGCATTTGAAGATACGATTTTTATCATCTTGGAGAGCATATGTTCCATGACTGTATATGCTCGAGTCCATAAGTGCGGCCCATTATTTTTCCTTCTCTTCTACTTGAGATCCTTAAGAGATGGGGCCAGTAAAACATTCGATCGTGTTGTATAACGCTGTTTCCAGCAGTCTGCTAGATGGCATCATGAACTCCAATCTCCATTTCGTGCAAAGGCTCTCTCTGTTCTTCTCTGTAACAAAAAGCACCGCTTTGCGACGTAAAACACCCTCGGCAACCCAGGCAATTTAGTCTGAAGAAGGTCCTGAAATATTATACTGGGGCAGCTTGTCATGTCTTTGAAGAAAAGCGTCATTGGCCGCAATTTTGAGCATGAGCTCCACTGACCAAATGAATCTCAAGCAACGTCCCAAAGGCCTTCCGCTTTCATTTCCGCTTCGGATAAACAAAACAAAAAGAGCCTTTTCCTACCACTCCGGCTTCAGGACAGCGACGGAAGTAGAACAGTGATCAATTTCCTGTGTCCGATGGAGGCTCAGTGACGTCCAAAGAAGTGGCGCCTTCCTTCTCTTCCGTTGCGATCTTCCAAGATTCCACAGGTGGCCGCGCGTTCTGGTTTGGGAGGGCGGCGGTGGGAAGGGCACGTTCGTCAGTTTTGCACCTCTCGCTCACTTCCCGGCCATATGTCATGATATTTACAATTGCCCAGGACCTTATGTAATTACAGGGTAAGCCTGGGGGAAAGGAATTATTGGGAGGAGCTGCGGGAGGGCGTCAGGGAGACAATGGACAAAGAAAGTAGCGATGCCTCCCCCCCCCCCGGTGCTAAAAAGAACAGTGGGAACAGTTCGGGTGTACCCGGAAAATAGCATTGTCGCCGGGATGTAGGCGGATCTTTGGAAGGAGTTCCGCTGTTGCTGGAGTCTGTCTTCTAAACCGCTCCGGTGTGATCTTGCTGGAACGGGAGGTTTGCTACTCCAGGAAAGCTAATTTAGAATAACAGAGTTGGAAGGGACCTTGGAGGTCTTCTAGTCCAACCCCTGCTTAGGCAGAAAACGCTACACCACTTCAGACAAACGTTTATCCAATCTCTTCTTTAAAACTTCCAGTGTTGGAGCATTCACAACTTCTGGAGGCAAGTTGTTCCATTGATTAATTATTCTGTCAGGAAATTTCTCCTTAGTTCTATCGAAGTTGCTTCTCCCTTTGATTAGTTTCCACTCATTGCTTCTTGTCCTGCCCTCAGGTGCTTTGAAGAATAGTTTGACTCCCTCTTCTTTGTGGCAGCCTCTGAGATATCGGGATATTGCTATCATGTCATGTAATCAGTATTAGAAAGTTAGCACAGGGAGCGGTAGCTTCTGTTCCTTTCACAGTGAAGAACTGGAAAATGTTTCTTCCAAGATTTGGAATCACAGTAGAAAAATAACTAAATTTTGAACTTTTTGACATATGGTAAACACCAAAAGAAATACAAACAGGGCTAAGTGGATTTTCGGTCTAGCCAACAAAATATAGTTATGTATACTAAATCATAATAATAAGCCCTAATATATATCCAATATGTATGCACAAGACAGAAAGAAACCTTAGCAGGGCCGTTATTCTACTCTTTGAACCTATCCTTGCATCTCCAGAGTTCTCCTTTGCATGTTTGGGAACCATGATTTTAGCTTGAGTGTTGTTTCTGTATTTCTAATATCAATAGTTCATTGTCCCACTGGATGTTATTGGGTCTGAAGTAACTGTTTTGGAATTATCTATTTTGTGATGCACTCTGAGATATAGTACTACTAGGGTGAACAATGGTTTTAGTCTCAGGGGCTAACATTCTTCTTTTCATTCCAACCCCAGCATTGTAAGCAAAATGATCTTGTTAAGCAGATTTTCTTTAAATTAGCATGAAAATGGCAGAATGAGAGATATAAATAATTTCCAATGGCAGAATTCTAAAATGCTATCTGAACATATTTTTTTTGCATTTGTTGCAAAATATCAACATGAATTAACCTTGAGAAAATTGCATTTGTTTATATTCATTGATTTGAATTGAACACAATATTTTCTTTATGTTATAGAAATGTTATGAGTATTACAAATGTTAGGAAATGTTATATATGTTAAGTAAGGTTTTGGACCTAGGCCAATAGGTTTATTTCATAGAAGGTATTAGATGACTAGAAGAGGGCAAATAAGGGGAAGAGGGTATTGCAAAAAGTTGGGAAATGGCACAGCTCCTTTCTTGGCTACTACTATAACTATTACGTCATCTCTTTCTTACAAGGGAATGCTATCCATTTTCTAACAACTATTATCCACATATGTGGCTGCATTCCATTGACACCACAATCTTAGCTCCTTTTTTGTTCCGGCAGATTTGTTTTTTCTTCATAAGAAAAAATATTTGAAGAATCTCTGTACTCACTGCAAACTGAAATGTTGCAGTCCCTTCCCATCAGCCCAACATTCTTGTGTCTTAGTCTAGTTGACAAGTATGTTGATTTTCATGTAGATTGCATTTCTGTATTTAAGAACCTCTAAACTTGAGGGCTGTTTATTATGGATGCCTACTGCTTGTAAGGAGCAATTATCCCATCTCCTTTCTGAGGTGAAATGGATTCAGTCCTCTAATACATGTTGGGAAAAAAAAGACCAGTGAGAGATTGAAGAGGCCCATCTTCTTTCATCTCCCTTATATATCAAAAGTTTGTGGTGACCTACACAATAAACAGTTTCTGAGGAGTATAAATGGGATGTGCTTTTGCATTTGTCGACATCTGGCTCACAGAGTGGAAAAAAGCTCTAATTCTAAATATATTTCCTGGTAGATCAGAAAATTTGAGACCTGATTTCACTGTGTTCTTTACCTGCATTGAAAATTCCCTATTGCTATCGAGTTTTATATAAAAAGGTGGAATTAATAATAATATATACTATATATAAAAAGAGATAAAGTAAATTGGCTGAGCAACTTGTTATTGTTATGTGAAAGGTATCTTTGTTGGAGAATCTGGGATTGAAAATATCTGAAAAGATCTTAGTGTAAGAGCAGGCTGGCCTTAATGGTGGACAAATCTAAAACTAACCAATTTCTGGCAATGGAAGAGTATACATGGCAGGAACCAGTAAGCCAAGACATTCACAATCTCAATTGAGTACAGCTCGGTGTATAATGATGAAGGGAAAAAAAACTAAGGTCTGTGAAAATAGGGTTGAAGAAGATAAGAGAAAACAAAGGGGGAATGTGATAAGATTCTTCATTAAAAAAAGGCAAAATATATTTTATATTCTCTCAGATACCAGGTGTGGGAAAAGTTTTAAGTTACAGAAGGAAAGTTAAACTGAATGCTGAAATACCCCTAACAATATGATCAGTTTGACAATGCAAACAATTACCAGTGAGGTGGTGAGACTCCCTTTGTTGGATCTTTTCAGATAGATGCTGAGAAGTCATCTATCATGGATACTTTAATTTGGATTTTGTGCATAACAGCGTGCTGGGCTCAATAGTTTAAAAGGTTGTTTTCATCTGTAATACAATGATACAGAAGCTGTCTTAAAAAGATAAAATTATTTGAAATGGGGGAATAGGGTATCCCAGTCACTTCCCAGTATTTATGTGCGTATGCATATTCATTGGATTTAAAGGGAGCTTCAGTTGCAAATGACTCTGAGCAGGATATATCCCAGTCTTCGTAGGTTATGTTAAAAAAAAAAACCAAAACCAAAGCATAGTGATATAGATTATTATTAAGTATTATGGATGGTTGAACATTGTCAAATAAAAGGGTAATCCTTTAATTAAAAATCTAAAATTACAACACTTAGCATGAAAATACTCTCATTGTATTGATTTACAAAAATTGGAAATCCTTTTGGTGCTATCATTTTCTAGAGATGACTGAAAGTTTTGAAATGTGCCTACAGGGAAGGTACATCCATACATTTTTTGTACAACCAAAAGGAATCTTTTATTCATCTAAGAGCTGTAATATCTTAAGATTAGAACTTATGATATTGTAAGGGCAATTGACTCAAAAACATACTAAGTACTTTGGTGTTATGCAGCAAACTATGGGGATATATTCAGAATAACTTATTTTAAAATTCAGGTTCTTACTACCAAGCAACTTATTTTCAGAATATCTTTATTATTTAGGTTTACAACAGGACCTGTTCTTCACTTGGATTGTCAATAAAATAACTTCTATGCACTATAGAAATCAAAAGTACAGTTATTTAGCAATACAAAGCAGAGTTGCTTTGATGTGACAGATAAGGTCTTTTTATTTATTTGAGGTACAGATTAAAAGATTAACAGAGTTGGAAGGGACCTTGTAGGTCTTCTAGTCTAACCCCCCACCCAAGGTATTTAGAACCCAAAGCAATCCAGTTTTGTAGTGCATGATTTTTCTTTTGACTTCAATCCATTTGCTGAAATCTAGTGTTCCTTTTTGTGGGGGAAAGGTTCTGCGACAGAATGCACACCTAAGAGAAACAGTGGAGAGGATTTTTAGCAATACAGAGTTTTCCCTAAGAGGAAGCAGTAAAGTACAGCAGAGAGAAGCCCAAATTAAGACACTCTGCAGTCCTGATCTGGGGAGGGGGGAGGAATGAACAGGTTTAGGGTAATCACACTCTAGAATTTCGAGTAGGTTAGAAGATTATAAATTCAGTGTGGCAAGATTCTAGAGTCCATTAAGTGAAAGCAAATAAAGGGTTGGATTTACTGTGTCATCCTTCGGTTTGTGTCTGACAGGTGCTGCTGTTTGGAAAAAGATTTCCAATTTGGATTTAAATTTGGCTTTCTCACAATATTCAGGCAGCATAAATGGTGCCTGGTGTCTCAAGAGATGCTACTATCATTCTGTGTTAAAACAACTGCACCTGGTATTAGGTATTTTCAAGATCCGATTCAAAAAATTTATCATTTGCGGAAACCTTTCATGTCTTGCAAATTACCTAGTGAGAATAATCAACCAATGGAACAGCTTGCCCTCAGAAGTTGTGCGAGCTCTATCACTTGAGACTTTCAAGAAGAGATTGGACTGGAGATCTGTCAGAAACAGTGTAGGGTCTCCTGCTTGGGCAGGGGATTGGACTAGATGACCTGCAAGGTACCTTCCAACTCTGATTATCTGTTATTTGCCTGCCCAATCTGATTTTTATCAACCACTACATGGTGTTTTTTTTTTCATAGTCTTGCCATCAGAGCTCCAGCTGGTTCTTTTGTTACAGTTTAACAGGGCCTTAAAATATTTCTAATTGTTTCTGAAAACTTTTAGAGGTTTAATTGGATAGTAATGTTTTATTGTAAATATAAGATGCTCATTGAGATTTGATTAGCAGATTCTATACAGAGCACAGGATTGAACTAATTAACCATTTCCATGATTCCATATATATAAGTCCATTAAAAATCCAAATAAAGTTGGTAGTTTCTTAATTATCTTTTCATACAACTTACCTGATACTTTAAAGTCCCATTACTGATAAAAGGCCAATTGAATTTGGGGGCAATATAAAATTGTAAGGGAAAACAATGAATGTAGTTGCCACCAAAGTATGCAGTGTTGGAGATCCCAAGAATAAATAAATTTGTCTATGTAGTAGCTATAAAATTACTTTGCTAAGTATTAAAATGCTACACCATGACCCCAGTCTTTTGAATATTCTAGTACTTCTACAGGTTTTAAGATGCTAAACATGTGGAAGTTCTGCTATTTTTGTTACAAATAAGATGCCCCAACTAATTAGTGGAATCCTAGTGTTCTACTTGGGTTAAAATTAAGATCCTCATGAATCATATAGTGATATATGATGGGTACTTTTGAGAAAGTTGTGTATGAAAGTTGTCACTACCAAAATGGCTTTATTTAAATTGTTCTTTTTCTGTTGATTATTTTTAATTATATTTTTGTTCTGTTAAAGTGGTTTTATATTGTGAACATGATATTAATTACCCAGAGTTATATATTTAATATGGATAGCTGTATACATTTTCTCTCTATATAAAAAATAGTATTTATTGTGTTTTGATGTCCTCAGTTTGCCAAGTACTTTCCTTTTCAGGAGCATGGAACACGGATTATTCATACTTGAGCAGGGTCATTTCATATGATGTCAGTTTGCTAAACAAAGCTAGATCTTATTTGTAAGTCAGGGAAAGTATTGCTACCACTAATCCCAATGTATAAACCAGTGTGCACAACAGAAGATACCAATGTGCTTATTTTGCAAAGGAATTAAGGCCTCTGCCTGTAAAAAACTAATCTGCTTGGTGGATATAAGATGCTCTTTGGTGTACTGCAGAAGAATAAAAATCTACAGAGAAAAGGAAGTGGTATAGAGTGGCAAAAACTGGAATATGAACATTCCACAATGCAGCAGTTTGCTAAATAATATTCCATTTGTTTATTATTAATGTGTGTTAATGTAATCTACCAATATACATGAAACTATACATTTTCTGATTATTTTTTGCTTTTTGCTGCTCTAATTCTCAAATTATTTTTAGGTATGCGGCCTGGCAAAGATAAATAATGGACCTCATATCAGGAATTTTACATATATAGCAGGTCCAATCTTATATTTATGGTGTAATGAATATACCATTGCACCAAACCTCTGTAATTCCAGCTCGAGATGTTACTTTTTCCAGAGTTTCTAAGAAGAAAGCCAAGAGGAAAGAACAGGTATGGTCATTTCTTTCTCCAATTAGGAGGCACAGCTTTATCTGAAGAGAATTGGAGAAGCATAACTTTTAGATTAAAGTTTTCATATGGAACTGCTTGTATTGAAAAAGTCAAAACTCTAAAGTGTTTTGACTTTTTACATACCTAAATACTTTTATATTCTTCAAGAAGCTATTGCAAGTGGAAGTTCTGAAAATATTTAAGCTATGACTGGGGAAAAAAACCCTGAAACTTCTCAGCAAATAGTTGATCAGTAATAACCAATATATTTATTGTTAGGCGTTCTATATTTTTTTGTCCTCTAAGAATCTTGGGGGGAATGGTGGTGAAATCACTGGAAGGTGAAGAACGAATTTTTCAGTCTATTTGTATGCAAGAGCTCTTTTGGGACTGGAGGGATAGGAAAATAGATATATTAAATTTTTAGCAGTTACAAAAAGAGCTCTGTAGACTACAAAAATAGTATATGATGATGAATCACCTTTTTATGTGATTTTATTGATTGCTAACAAAAAGAAATATTAAGACCTTTAGCGATTGCCTTATCTCTTATTGTTTAGTCTATGATCAGTTTTTTACTTGAGTATCCAAGTGATGTGTGCTGAAACATCAAGGACTAGAGAAATAGAGATTGCAGTCTAGTCTGGATGAGGTTGCACATGGGCTCTTCTAATTTTTTCTATTGTTCAGCAAACTTGCTATTTTATAGAATATTCTTGAAAAAATATCATTTTTTACATATTTATATCACACATATATAAATATTAATCCTCTGTCCACATAGACCTCTTTCTTTTTGACTGGTTCTGCTCCTCTGCTGGTTCTACTGTGTTCTTACCAACTACATTACTTTATTGGATTGAGGTCAATTTAGAATCAACACATGTCCAGAAATCCATTGTTGGAGTTTTAATACCTCTGCTAGTCTTGTCTCCCATTTTAAACAGCAGTTATTTATGAGTGGCAGTTCTTGTTCCCAGATGTAAAGCAATCACTTTTGCCTCAATGGTAATTAAGTAAATGATAATTTAATGGAAAAATAATATAGCACGTGTAAAAATTCATAACATGAAATTTTTGAGTCAGTAAGACAGCAGTTTTTGATGTATTTCCATCCATGATTGATTGGGAGATTGTGGGATTATATGTAAATATGTGACAATTAGCTTCTGACAATTTTCATTCAGAAACAGGAATATGGGGAGGCTGATTCTGGTTGCAATTTCTCTTGTGTTATGTACCATTCTAGTGATGCTCTTGCCACTACTGTGGTAAGGTTACCGGAGTTCCTTACTTGCACCTTCAAGCACATGTCACAAGTAGCAGCCTATAGAGGCAATAGAAAGAAAAGTTGCAGATGGCCAAGGGCCTTTAACGTGAATGAGTGTTCTAAAATGCTAACAGTTTTTAACACTTCAAGCACTAAAAATTAAAAAATGGAACTAAAGTACATTGAAATGGAGAAGTAAATTTGTCTGTAAATAACATTTTGGTTTCTGGATAATTTAAGTTTTTATGTATATAAAAGTGAAATACCATTACATATCATCACAAAATCTCCAGAACCATAAAGCCTACAAACTTGAAATTTGGGACCTCTTGGCTTCTAGGTGCTCACTAAGAAAGGATTTTTTGAAATGACCATCAGAGTATTAGTATTTCATATATTATTATTAACACGCTATGATGCTAAGGAGTTCTACTCTGTCTCCCCACCTGAAAAGAAATATGTTCCAAATGCAAAACACAAGCAGAGGAGAGGAGTTTCAGTTTTAGTTTCACAGCAGCAAGCACTTTAGTACAGAACAATTGAGCTAAGTCACGCCCAGACTCCTTCCTGTCTCCTTGCTCACACAGCAAATACGCTAGCTGGATGCTGGTAGGCAGAGGCAGAATTCACCCCCCTGTTATTTTCCTCCCCCAAAACTAAGCCTGATCACATAGTTTCATAGCGAAGCATGGGTATAGAGCTAGTTATTTCATATAATTCCTAAATAAGATGAGATATCAATTGAATCCAAAGGAACTAATCTGCAGGGTGAATTGCTTTAAGTTGTTAAAAGTAGTTTCTATATTGAAGATGTATTTTGTGCATGATTATTATATGGAAGCTTCAGCAGATCAGCAATATCAGGAGAGAGGCCATTTCAGGGTTTAAAAACTGCCTAGGGAAAACCCACAAACTGTAATTATCTCCTCTACAAATTATTGGAATGCTTTGCCTTCCAAGCAGAATTCTGTTCAAAATAAACACCCCCAGTTTAACTGTTTTTGAAGAATATCTTGTTTTTATTGAAATTGGAAGGACTAACAACAGATTCCCTGGTATGAAATCAACTTAACTGATAAAAACATTTTTTTGTTATTATTTTTGTAGCCTGCTAATTCAACCTCTTTTCCTGCTCTTTGTGGCTTTTCTCAGGCATCTGCCACACCAACCAATCAGGACATTTGCAGGTGAAGTATTAACTGTGTCATTGCACTAAAACTGATGACAGTCATGATGTCAGAAGTTATGCTATCTTACAGCTGATGATCCAGGAAATCTTGCAGGGTGAATAACAGTTGGTCTTCCAATAAGTAGCCACTTTTCCTATGTTTTCAAATTGCCATATTGAAATATATTAGAAATTGTTGGTAACATAATATATTTTTGTACAATACCTAGTTTTTCCCATAACAATAGCTCTGTAAGATGAGTTGACCTGAGAAAGAGTGCCTGACCTAGGGTCACCTTGGAAACTTTCACAGTGGACTAGAATGTGGATCTCCACAATCTGAGTCCAGCACTTGAATCACTGCACCACAAAATATTTTGGATTCTAAATAGCTGTTCCAACTATAGCAGAAGTGTTTTGAGCTCAAAATAGAGAGAAATATCACCAGAACATTTCTCATAAAGTTGGAACAACTCATTTGGAGCTTGAAACATGTTTCAAGTGTATTTATTTTACACATCAAGTGTACTTATTTTACAAGCAAACATAAAACCAACAATATAAGATTTTTTTGGTCAGGGAATACTTGATATTACAAGAATTAAAAATAAACCAAATGACTACACATACACATATACATTTAATGCACATTATGTCAATTTCTAATGTAAATGTGGAATGGGACAGAGATGCATGGAACATATTATATGGTGGTGAATAAACAGTCTTTTTTCTCAACAGTTCATAAAACCTAGAAGAAAGCACAGATCAACAAATCCTGTCCAACCATGCTATGCTGTATGCACATGCATATACATGTTTAAATGATCTTAGCATATAAAGTATTGTGGCACATGGATTATGCTACCATATTGAATGGCCTGTTTAATTCTGCCTTTTTATGTTTGTTATTTGCCTTCCTCGTATTGGCTGAAAATATCATTTCTTTAACAAATTGTATGTACTGTTTAATTTTTTGTGCTTTTATTCCATTGTTCTGCATGCAGTTCCAGTGCAGTGTGTTCTGAATGTTGTCATCCCAGTCCAGTACAATCTGCTGTTATCTTGAAAAATCTTGTCTGCCAGAATGCTCTGACTCCAGGGGCCACTGTGACAGTAACCTGTCAGAATACGGTGCAGGCTTCCAAGGCAAACTCCCATAGGCATGAACGTGTTTATGCTCTCCAGTCTAAGAGTGAAAAATCCAGCCATGCTCTGAAATTCTCCAGGTCTCTCAGTGATATGGATCAGAAGGCTCAGAATACAATTGACAGATTTAGCTGCGTGGAACGAACATGTTCAGAAGGCAGACTTACCCAAATGCAAAAGCAATGTTTAAGACTTAACATAAGTCATAAGGAGAAGAAACCATTCAGCTTCAGGCCCTTCACTGTTAACAATTGCAGACTTTCATATTTCTGGTCACTCTCGACCAATTACTCAAGCACTTCTCTGGCTACTGATACTCATAGTGCTATACGTATTCCTCTCCTGGAAGACAAGTATGGCAATGAAATCTCCCAGAGTAAAGATTTGTTGCAGTGCCTTTTCTCTTTTTCTCATATTTCCAAATCAAGCAGTCATGAACTGGATAACAAGTCAAGCTGTCTCCGGTCAGAGAAATCATCCAGTGGTATGGTAGAGAGCACAGGTTTCTGTTCAGATGATATGGGAGATAATGATGTCTTTGAGGACAATTCTGTGAGGGTGAAAATTACAGCATTGCGGGCACCACTCTGCTCAGCTGAAAAGGATAATGATCTAGACTGCCCTTCCCAATTGTCAGAAAATTTCCCTCCACTTTCCCCTGTGTCTGTGTCTGGAGATGTCTGCAGGTTGGTTTATGCCAAACCACTTTTTCTGCCCCCTCCCAGGTCTATGGTAACTTGCTCTGCTCTTTTCATTTTCTCAACCATTCACTTTAGTTCACACTGAGCTTTATTTTATTCTGAACTTGCCAACTTTTTTGAATGTGCAAAGCATTTTGGTTTTTTTTCCCTGATTCCTTGCTGATCATGTATTTCCCTACATATGTTCCATTTATTGTATGTATAGGAAAAAAGGATATCAAGAGTGAGGAAATGTTTTCTTGCAAGCTTTTAAAAAATACCTTGAGAAATATGTAGTGCTTCACATCTTGGAACAACTGAGTTGCTTGCCCCTAAAACAGATTTCAACTTCCCTGATTCCAAGTACTATTCAGTGCATAATTGCCTTTTCACCTTTGTGCACATCCTTTTTTTCCAAAGATAGCCTCTCCTGTTTCAGGTTAATCCTCAACCAAGACAGGTACCCTGCTTGCCTGCATATACCATCATCTCCCAGAATTCTGGGGCTCTTGAGAAAGAGAGTGGCACTGATATAAAAGTTTCCACTGAAAAGGACTTCTCTTGTACCCACAATCTTTCAGAGGCCATCCATGCGCCTCACTGAATTTTCCACAATGTTACTAGTGTAATTCAGGACATTTGATACAATAGCGAGAAGTGCTATCCCACAATTTTAAATATCCATTTAAAGAAGTGCTATCCCACAATTTTTAATATCCATTTAACTTCCTCTGAAACTTCTGGTCCTGGGGATTTGTGGTTCAGTATGGAATCATGGCTACACTTAGGCAAAGCAAGCTGAGATTGTTGCTTGCTAGTTGCTTTTGTGGCATGACGTTTATAAATGGCTATCCCAGAAATTCCAAGGAAAATATTTGAAACTTTCATCAACATTTTAAAATGTTAAAAATTCAATTTTGATATTGTAGATTATATTGTAGAATAATAGTAATTTAAAATAACCAATTTTCCATTACTTAGGCACATCATTATTGATGAAGCACAGAAATAAGTAAAGCCCCATTAGCCTTGTTAAAAAGTTAATAGCAATGTCCTTTTTTGTCCTTTTTCTTACAAATTTTTGTTTGATTGTTTTGGTCTTATAACTAGAGAGAAGCAAGAAGCGTACTTGAGTAGTTTTTTTCAGACTCTCAGATAATTTATTATTCTTTGATATTGTGCCTTTTTTTCAACAAGATATTTTTCTAGTTTAGACCATCATTGTCTTTTCTTTCCCCTAATAAATTGCTATGTTCTTGTCATAGGATATGCCATTGTGAAGGAGATGATGAGAGCCCATTAATTACTCCCTGTCATTGCACAGGAAGCCTTAATTTTGTCCATCAAGCTTGTCTGCAACAGTGGATCAAGAGCTCAGACACCCGTTGCTGTGAACTCTGCAAATATGAATTCATCATGGAGACCAAATTGAAACCTTTAAGAAAAGTAGGTCCTGAAATGATACTATAGAGTCAAACATAATCATGGATTTCCTCTTTAGCATTTCCTCTTTATACATTTAAAATTTAGATTATAATAGATGTAGGTACTGTTGTGAATGTTCACATTTAAAAAAAATAAACCAGTGTATTGTGAAGCAAAGTAGAACTTTAAGAGGATCTTTGTGTTAAAATAATGTTTTTGAGTCCTAAGGATATTCTTTTTTAAAACATAAATATGAGATAATAATTATCTCTTCATTTGGAAAGGTGACCCCCTGCCCCGAAGAAAGAAGCAAGCTGGGGTGACAGTAACTGTGGTAAAAGTAGTTTTGGGAGCAGTTGTATCTATTGCCTCCGATAAACAGCAATAGCTCTTAGACTTATACACTGCTCCAAAGAACTTTACAGTTTTACAGAGTCAACATATTGCCCCCAACAATCTGGGTCCTAGTTATTTTATGACTGGCCACATCATGGTTGCAGCAGTTTGTAAATTGGAAGGAGCTATTTGGGCATCAGGACCAGCCCCTGCCTAGTATAGATAATATCTGAGACATAATCTTCGAGCCCTTGCTAAGCAACAGAGAGAGCACCTGTTTTCTACAGTAGTTGTTAACATACTGTTGTAACAGCTAAGATGTTTTTCTCAGTGTTGGAATCTTCTGCTTGTAGTGAAAATCTTTTATTTCATGTCCTGAGGCAAGAATGAAAAAGGATAATTCCTAAACGCTTGTGTATGTCATCATTTCTCTACATATGATTGAATTTCTTTTTCCAAGGCTAAATGTTTTCAGTTCAACGTTTCATCATAAAATTTAGATTCTAGTTTTCTGATCACTTTCATTGTCTTTGAATTTGTTCCAGTTTGTATGAACCCCTTTTAAAAGTAGAGTGTCCAGAATTTGGTACAATACTTGCATTGGCAACTGACAGTATAGAATAATATGGACTTCTTTTCCTATCATCTGAAAACCATGCTTCTGTTTATAATAGCGTAACTTTGTGTTTATCTTGTTATTAAGTTTATACCATGACTTCCATTTAAAGACATGAGGTAACTTACACTCAATTCAGCACATTATCAAACAAAATAATCTTCATGAATTTCTTTTTCTTTCCTGTGTGTGTAATTTTTGCATTGTTTTTATAAAATTATTTTGTTTCTAATTTCTCAAGTACTCAAGATTATTTTGAATGTTGACTCTATCTTCAAGAATATAAGCTATTTTACCTATTAAATTTTATGTCATCTTCAAATTTTATAAGCATCTTTCCAAGTTAATAAGTATTGAAGAGCCCAGGAATGAATCTTGTGGTATCATATTCAAATTTCTCTCTAATTTTATTATTAATAAATTTTATTAATCATATTTTCATCATAAAAACACATTTCCACTCATTACAGCGTTCCAGTATCAGTGTTCACTCACATTGACATACTTTCTAATTACGTAGGTTGCTATCATATGTTATGTAGTTATTTCTGCATTCAACTTAAACCAAATATTTACAAGATTATAAACAATTTTTATCTCATCTTACTATAGCTCCTACATATCCTTCATCTATCAGCTTTGTGTTTACCTTCTAACCAATTGTACCATAAATTCTAAATCTCATAGTATTCAGTTTCTTCTCTATCTTTTAGTTCCATCGATAACCTATCCATCTCTGCACATTCTAAAACCTTTTTTATTATCATTACGTCAGAAGGAGTATTGTTTCCAGTTCTGGGCAAAGGCAATTTTGGCTGCAGTTATTATATGAAGTATAATGTATTAAAATTTTTACAGTTTCATCTTGATTTTTTGTTTTGTAATTCTTCTAGCCAATTCTTAATTTTGAGCCAATATTTCTTAGCTTTGAGGCAGGTCCACCACATATGGAAGAAAGTTCCTTGTTCATTGTCATTGTCTCCAACATTTTGCCAGTCTGTTAGGAAACATTTTAGCCAATCTTGCCGGGGGTAAATGCCAGCGATAAAACATTTTATACAAACTTTCTTTGTAGGCTTCTGACATTGTTAATTTGTAATTTATCTCTACATAATTTTTCCCAATTCGATATTATACCCAAAATTTTTGGCCCAGGTTATCATGGTTTCCTTAACTGATTCTTCCTCCATTTTAAATCTTAAAAGACAGTTATACATTTTGGTGATCACCCCCACCCCTGATCCCCTGTAATATTTTGTCTTAATTCCTGTTGGCCTTTATAAAAACCATATTGCTCTAAATCTTTTTTGTATCTTGTTTGGATTTGTAAATATGGCCACCAATCTATCTCTATTCCTTGTGCCTTTAACTCTTGGTTAGATTTCAGTTTCCCTTGCTCATCCAATAACTCTTTGTATCTGACTATCTTGTTTAGATCTAATACATTGGGGTACATCATTGCCTCCATAGTCAATAACCAGGTTGGAATTTTCATATAATGGTTTTTCTTAATTATCTTCCAGACAAATAACAGGGTGTCCCTTACTTGATGTCTCTGGAAATATGAATGCAACTTGTTTTTCCCCTCCCAGCATGCCAACCAAACTGCAAGTCATGACCCTCTATTGTTAGTACTCTTTTGTTGTTTAAATTTATCCAATCTTTAAGACATGTCATGGCTGCTACATAGTAGTAAAGTTCCCAATTCAGGAGCCCGAAACCTCTCCTATTCCTACTATCCTGCAAAAGTATTAATTTTATTTGGGCTTTCTTCCCTAACCAAATTGTTATTTCTTTATTTAGTTCTTCAAAAAACTTTGTTCCTAATTTTATTGGTATTGTTTGGAAGAGAAACAGGATTTTAGGTAGTATGTTCATTTTAATTGTAGCAATTCTTCCTATCAGTGAAAGTTGTAATTTCTCCCAGTTATCTAAATCCTTTTGTATTTGTTGTAATAGGGTTATAATTGTCCTCTTTTATGGAAGAACATTTTGCTGTCAGCCAAATTCCAAGGTATTTCACTTTTTTAACCATCTGAATTCCAATTTCTCCTCCAATTTCTCTTTTTGATTCACAGTGAGATTTTTAGTTGTTATCTTCATTTTATCTTTATTTATTTTAAGCCCAGCGACTTTGCCAAATTCCTCTATTTCTTGTATTAGCATGCTTCCTGTTTCTAGTGGGTCTTCTATAATAAACACCATATCGTCTGCAAATGCTTTTGTTTTATATTTTTCCTTTTTGATTCTCAATCCTTTTATTTCCTGCTTTTGCCTAATATATGTTTTGCTGACAGGATGAACAGGAGTGGAGATAGTGGGCCTCCCTGTCTTACTCCTTTGGATATATTAAATTTATCTGTCATTTCCCCATTTAGTATTATTCTTGCTGTTTGTGTAGTATATATTGCACTAATCATCCCTATAATTTTTTCTGCAAAGTTGATCATATTCAGTTGGTTGCTGAAAAATTGCCAATTTAGGTTGTCAAACCCTTTTTGCGCATCTACAGATATCAGCGCCACTTGCTTATCTGGGTGAGCCTCATAGTATTCCAACACTTCCATTATCATTCTTGTATTGTTCCTTAAATGCCTTTTCGGTACAAATCCATTTTGATCGGGATGAATAAACTCATTTAAATTTTTTAAAACTCTTTCCGCAATTATTGTGACAAATATCTTATAGTCGGCATTTCATAGTTTTTGATCTGCTGATCGTCTGCATTCTCTTAAAATAAATGTGATGTATGCCTCTGTCCAAGAATTTGGTAGTCTTGCCTGTTCTAGCGTTTCGTTATATAAATCCAACATTAAGTTCTCCAGTGGCTCCTGAATTTCTTTATACAGTTCTGCAGGAATTCCATCAGGTTCCGGTGTTTTATTGTTTTATTGTTTCTTGATTGCCTCCTTCATCTCTATTATCATGATTTTGCCATTCAACATTTCCCTTTTTATATCTGATACTGTAGGTAGGCCCCTCTCACTTTATTGCTTAATCTTTTCTTCTGGTATGTCCTCCTGACTATACAAAGTTGTAAAAAAAAATTGGGCAACAGTTTTTTTCTCTTCTATCAGATAGTGAAGAGACCCATTCTCGTCTTGCAACTTTGTATTAATTTTTTCTCTTTCTCCTTCTTCAACTTGTATGCCAGTCATCTCCCTGGTTTATTTGCTTGTTCAAAGTAGTTTTGTTTCACCAATCTGAGATTTTGTACCATTTCTTCTTGTAAGTTTAAATTTATTTTGTGTTTGACCACATCTCTCTCTCTCTTCTTTAATTTTCTCATTTTGGGGGTCTTTTTGCATTCTAAATTCCAATTCGAGTTTTTCCTGCAGTACCATTTGTTGTTTCTTCTTATCTTTGTTCCTTATCTTTTTTCCTTTGTTCTTCCATAAAATTCCTCTAATTTTATGAAGGAACAATTTGATAAGAAACAACGTTGTCAGATGAATATTAACTATGATTATTAGATATCTTTTACTCTACCAATTCTGCTTTTTATGATAACTTTAAGCAATTCTGTATTAATAAATGTATGCACATAATTTGTGAATTCTGCATTGCTATATTAAGTTATTTATTTCTAATTTGCATTTCTAAAGTTGCAACAAATCATTGGTGACTTTGGGTAATAGAGTAAATTAAAAATAAACAAGCACCAAAAGAAAAGAAAGAAGATTATACAGTAGACGATCTTTACTCCACTATAACAGCCTTGCATAGGGAACTACCCTCCCAGCTTAGTTCACAATCTAGGGAAAGATCCAGCTCTTCAAAGCACATTAAAAGACAGCAGCAGGATCAGTGTCCTTTAAATCTGTGAAGAAATGCAGAGGGGCGGCATCATGACAGAGAAGGCATGCAAGCTGAGTGCCCTCAGATGCTATTGGTTAATGAAGGGTTTAATATAATACAGAACAGTGTGTCATATCCATATCGTCAGAGTTTGCAGCAATCCAACCAGCACACAAGTAAATCAGCAGGATTCATTTAGAGAAGAAACTTGTTTATATACAATAATATAAAGTATGATGCGTGTATACAATACCCATGCAGAATCCAGAAGTCATAATCACAAAAGCAATACAAACACAGAACTTATAAAACTTAGGAACAATATAAACACAGAAGCAAAGATCCAAGGACAAACTAACTCTTGTATACAGACCAGTAACCCTAAGCCACGCCCAGTCTCCAGGCCGTCTGGCTAACAACAGGTGCTGTTTCTTAATCACCAAACAGTTCCCATTGGCTGACTTGTTGATAGACATATCCCAGCTCATAATTTCTCATGTACTGACACTCCTCCCTTTATGATTGGAATAGACATAAAATCCAATAACTTAATATTCTTCCTATGGTCCACTCCACCCAATGTTTTGGTCATTATATCTGCCAGATTGTCTTCTGAAGAACAGTGAAGCAAGCTAATTAATTTACATTTGATGGCTTCTCTGATAGTACAATACTTAATGGCCACATGCTTCTATTCTTTACTTTGTCACCTGCTGCCATTTTAATGCAAGCAGCATTATCATCAAATCCCGTAACAGCTGTACGTACCAAGTTATCTTTGAAAAAAGTTTGGTTAGAGGTATAAATTCTGCCTCCGCAGTAGAAATGGCTACAGTGTTTTCTGGACTTCCAACCAATTAAAGCCCCTCCAAACAATACCACAATTTCAGAATTAGACTTTCTTATTTTTACATCATTGGCATAATCACTGTCAACATAACATTTCAATATCAATTCTTCAGAGACCTGTATTTGAAGACCCAAGTTCACAATTCCCTTCAAATACCTGAGAATACTTTTTATATCCTGGTGCTTGACCATGTACATTTCTTCCTCTAATTCTGCATTGTGGAATGCTGTGGCAAATTTGGCAAAATGCCAAATTTTATGGCCACGTGCCGCTGCCAATGCTAGTGCCAACCTTATGCTTTTACTCTTTACGGTTGGCGTGAATACCTCATCATACTGCACATTTTTCCTCTGAAAAACCTTGTGCAACTAATCTTGCTTTATATTGTACCACATTATTGGGTAGTACTTTCTTTTTGTACACACATCCTATGGCTTTCAACCTTGTGGCAAAATCATAGATGTGAACACTTTATTTTTATTTTATTTTTTATTTTTTTGTCATTGCTTACAAGATAATAGGTATAAGTAAAAACTTAGTTATGAATACATGGATACATATAAGAAAAAATAAAAAATAAAAGAAACAATAGGACGGAGGGTAGGCACATTGGTGCGCTTATGCACGCCCCTTTATGTTCACCCATGAATTTCATTTCTTTGTCCATGGCTTCTTTCCACCTCACTTCAATTTTAGGTAATGCCAATACTTATAGTTCCTTGGCTCATAGCACACTACACACCTTTACTTCACTAGCATAATACCTGTCAGGTGGAATCCCCTTATTCCATCGCTCTGACCTGCGTGGTATTTACTGCTCCTGTGTTTCAACCCTCTCTGGCTTCATATCTGAGTCGTCATCTTCTCCTGACTCCTTTTTTAATTCTATTTCAGTTTCTCCTCCCTGAATGCTGACATCATCACTAAGTGAGTTACCTACCATCACTAAGTAGATTACTGTCACTAAGTGGATCATTCAAAAAATTGGCATCAATTCTGTTTCAATTTTGCTCCGTAAAACTAGCAGACCTTGAAATCACTATTCTTTTGCTCCCATCGCTAAAGTGATAGCTCTTTGAGCCAGGCTCATAGCCTGTAAACCTGAGTTTTCTAGCCTTTTCTCCTGATTGCTTTTGGAATATGCACCCATGCATTGCTTCCACCCTTAAATGTGCCAGATAAGGCTTTCTCTCATTTAACAATGCATATGGAGTATCATGTATTGATGAACTCCACAGCCTATTGATTAAATAATTAGCAGTCAACATGACTTCACCCCAATACAACCTGCTCAGACCAGAATCCTCCAGCAATAAGTCCTTAATTGTCTGTAGGACGCCATTCCGCCTTTCAGCTATGTCATTCTCAGCTGCTGTGTATGGATTAGTGTGTCTGTGTTTTATTCCTAACTGTCCCAACCACTGTTGAAAACTTAGCTGACATGAATTCTGAACCTCTGTCAATTTGCAGTTGACATACCTGTTGTTTATATCGCCTTTCCATGAAGCTTACCCATTGCTTTAATTTCTATAGCACCTCTATTTTACTCTTTAGTAAATAGCAGAAACCAAATCTGCTGTAGTGATCTACAATGATCAGCACACTTTGCTCCTCCCAAACTGGCTTGCATTGGCCCCACCAAATCTGCATGTACCAGCTCTAGAGCTCTTGTTGTCTGCCTTGTGCTACTCTTGCTTACTGGGAATACCTTGGACATTAATTATTTACATACTGCACAGTCCAAGTATGCCTTACACCCCTTTAAATTTAACCCTTCTGCAAACTGTTGCATCTTTTGCAAAACTCTGAAGCTGGCATGGCCAAGCTTTCTGTGCAAGAGATGAACACATGAATCATGTTGTGCAATATCTCCAATGTTTGGGCACATTGAACCTTTTGTCCCTGCAACACATAAAGATTATCCTGCTTTATGCCCTGTGCATATATACTTCTATTCCTTTTTATGAGACACTTCCCATTTATAAATGTGGCCTCAAACCCTTTTTGATCTAGACTAGAGACACTCAGTAAATTATGTTCCATTTCAGGCACACATAACATGTTACTAAACTTTTCCTTCAGACATGGAATCAACACAGTGCCTTTTGCTGACTTTAGCCTTCTGGCCATTCGCCAAGGCTACTGCATCACCTCCAGCTGGATCCATTCTGAAAAATAATTTAGAATTATTAAGAATTGTTTTACTATCCCCATTGTCTATTAACCATTTGTCTCTGCTATTGCAATAGCTAACTTTTGCAACAGCAGCTTGTCCATCTGTTGTCTTTCTTCCTTGTAAACAGTCTTTCTTCAAATGATTCTTATCACCACATATGAAACACCTTCGGTGTTGCTGTCCTTTTTCTTGCTTTTTAGAAAAACTTTGCTGCGCTGTAATACAATCTCTGCAGACATCGTTTCTGTTGCTTTGGAATGTGCAGACATATTTTGCTTTTTTCTCTCTGCTCCTTGGGTCCCCACCTCAGGAATTTATCCTCATGGCTTTTTGTAAAATGGTGCTTGTTTTCCTCAGAAAGCAAACAGGTCTTAAGGGCTTCCATTTGTAAGTCCTGTTCTGGTTTGCACTCCAAAACAGCTGGAACAATGTCCTATGTTTCATCAAGACTCTTTAACTCCAACAGCACCTTCTGAGATTCAGGAATCTGCATTCCACGCTGTTCCAACTCAATAAATAGATTCTATATGTGCAGCAAATGCTGCTCCACGCTCGCTTGTGGCTGCAGCAGGGCTCTGTATAATTGTCTTGATAATTGCACAATATTGCATTCTGATGCACTCACATGCACACTCCTCAATTTCAGCCAAACCTCATTTGCAGTCTTTAAATCAACTACAGTCAAGAATTATTCATTTTCTAAACTTAAGATGATGTAGGCCAGTGCCTTATCATGCTGCCTTTGATCTGCTGCTGCTAATGGTGCCTGGAGTGGATTAATAACATTATCCCAGAGCTCCTAACCCTTCAGGAAGCATTCCAATTTTGCAGCCCAAACAATATAACTCTTCTGTCCCAATCGAGGCAGAGAGCTCTCCTTGAATTCAACAGCCATCCTGAAAGCTTTCTCAGTCAGCCTTGTTCTCTTTTCCTTTTAACACAGGGCGTCCTTCAACTTAATTACAGTTCCGTCTTACTGTGTGCTTTGTGTGCTCTCGGCACATAACCTGTAAGAGTTTGCAGCAATCCAACCAGCGCATGTAAATAATTCAGCAGGATTCATTTATAGAAGAAACTTATATTATTCATTTATAGAAGAAACAATAATAAAAAAGTATGATGCATGTATATAATACCCATGCAGAATCCAGAAGTCATAATCACAGAAGCAATACAAACACAGAAGCAATGTAATACTTAGGAGCAATATAAATACAGAAGAAGCAAAAATCTAAGAACAAACTAACTCTTGTATACAGACCAGTAACCCTAAGCCATGCCCAGTCTCCAAGCCGGCTCACAACAGGTGCTGTTTCTTAATCACCAAACAGTTCCCATTGTCTGACTTCTTGTTATGTCTATCCCAGCTCATAATTTCTCATATACTGACCAGAGGTGGTATTCAGCAGGTTCTGACCAATTCTGGAGAACCGGTAGCGGAAATTTTGAGTTGTTCGGAGAACTGGCAAAAACCACCTCTGACTGGAAATTTTACAGTATCCTTCCCCTGCCATGCCCACCAAGCCACGCCCACAGAACCGGTAGTAAAAAAATTTGAATCCTACCACTGATACTGACACATATGTAAGCTGTGTGTGCTTGATTGTCTGCCATCAGGGTCAAATCAATAAAACAAAGGTTTCTGACTAAACAGCAAGTATCACTTGTTTTTGAGAACCGAACTGAACATTTCTATTTTCTGGATTTCTTCTTAGTGGGAGAAACTGCAGATGACAGGCAGTGAGCAAAGAAAGATCATGTGCTCTGTAACTTTCCATATCATTGCTATTACTTGTGTGGTGTGGTCACTCTATGTCCTCATAGACCGGACTGCTGAAGAAATTAAACATGGGGAATCCACGGGTATGTTATTTTATTTTATTTCTAACGAAAGTGGGGTGTTCGAGCCATGACAAATTGCCCATAACCAGGGAAACATGTTTATATATTATGCTTTCTTATATCAAAATTGCTTTATTTTTACATTGTATTCCTTTAATGAAAATGATGTATCCCTGCTTTTTCTTGCTCTTACTGTTTTTATTTTGCCACTTAGTTTTTTTCGTTTTGAAATTATGTAGTGTTACTTTCAGTGTTAATTATCAAACTACAGGGTGACTTGCTCTTCTCCCCCTTTGCCATGGCAATTTGGACTGAAATTACTCATCTTTGGAGCAGATTAAGACAGATTAAGGAACAGCAGTTCATAAGAGAAATGTTCACCAATACTTTCAGTTTTATTGATAAAAAATAGTTACAAGCCATTTTGTCACATAAAACAAAGTTATGCATTTGGAGAGTCCTCTAAATCTGAAGTTTGCTAGATTAAAGAAGGCTGTAGTATGGTTTGATACGGTATATTCACGTGGATGTGGCTGGGTTCGATGCACCAAGTGGGCATGGCTGGGTGGGTGTGGCTGAGTGGACTCAGAACAAGTTGCCTCAGGCAACTGGATGTGGAGCCAACTCAGCACCCCACCAAAAATCACTTGAAGATGTGCTGGCAAACAGGAAGCAGGGAAGCTGCAAAATTTTAAAGACAAAGGGTGGATTCTCCCCCCCCCCCCCCCCCCAATTTGGTAAAACATCTCTTTTTCTTTCTGCTTCCCAGGAGAGGTTCCTCTGCTAAGTTTGGCAGGGAGGAGCTCAAGTACTTCTTCATGTACTATGCATAGTTAGACAATGAAATCTGGTAATATAAAATGTGGCAAAAGCCATCAGCAAACAGCCTTAAAAGAGGCTTGCCAACTTCATGTAAGATAGGTTTTGTTTATATTTGTTAGGAAGGATGATTAAACATTCAGCCATCCAGTCACTGGAGAGACAAAATGGGGTTGCCTTCTCATAGATATCAAATTCTCACTTTATCAATCAATTAGAATAGAGCTGGAAGGGACCTTGGGGGTCTTCTAGTCCAAACCTCTGCTTCAGTAGAAGACCCTATAGTATCAATTATATTACCCTATAGTACAGAGGTGGTATTCAGCAGATTCTGACCAGTTCTGGAGAACCAGTAGTGGAAATTTTGAGTCGTTCAGAGAACTGGCAAATACCACCTCTGACTGGCCCCACCCCCATCTATTCTCTGCCTCCCAAGTTGGGTCTTCTTTTGTTGCCCTGCACAGGAGAACGGAGCTGGAAAGCAGATTAGTGGGGTAGGGAGGGAATGGGATTTTGCAGTATCCTTCCCCTGCCATCCCACCAAGCCACGCCCACAGAACTGGTAGCAAAAATTTTTGAATCCCACCACTGCTGTAGTATTCTATAATGTCTGGCAGCCCATGGGCTGGATGTATCATGTGCAGGCCATGCCCACCTCGGCTCCGAAAAGGCAAAAAATGTCGCAATATGTCATGCGATCGAATTTTACACCTATGCCCTATACCAGGGGTCGCCAACCTTTTGGACCTCAGGGACCACCAAACTCATAATTTCAGATCCCAGGGACCACTAACCGGTTCTGTGGGCTTGGCCTAATTTGTGGGTGTGGCTTGGTGGTCATGTGACTGGATGGGCATGGCTTGTATGTAAATATAAATATGTAAATATTGAATTTTTTTATTAAAAAAGAGCAACTTTTACCCAAAATCAGGCAAAGCAGGCAGATTGAGTTGCTCACAGAATCACAGATTCATTCAGAGATCTATCTATCTGCCATTGGCTAGCTCAGTCTGTCACATAAAATTTGCTTGCAAGCAAACTCACAAAATTAACTCACAACACACCATATATGTAAATATTGATTTTTTTAAAATAAAAAAAGAGCAACTTTTACCCAAAATCAGACAAAGCAGGCAGGCATTGAGTTGCTCACAGAATCATTCAGAGATCTATCTATCTGCCATCGGCTACCTGAGTCTGTCACATAAAATTTGCTTGCAAGCAAACTCATAAAATTTGCTAGCAAGCAAAGTCATAAAATTAACTCACAATACACCATGTATGCAGGGGTGGGATCCGACTGGTGTAACTACCGCTTCAGTGATTTACGATTTGAAATAAAAATCAACTAATGGGCTAGGAGGGATAAATTTTAGCTCACCTACCTAAACCCATGATTTAGCTGTAACTCTCTTCCCATCTTACAACTAGCAGGTAAAAAGAGAGTTAAGTTAGGTTTGATTGGTCAAAATAAATCATAAACATGAAAACATAGTTGCTAAAAACATGAGCGTTAACATTCTCTTCAAATAATGGCAGCTGAATCAATTAATTGCAAATGAAGTACTTTTTCTTTATATACATGCATTTTCCAATACTTTTCTGTTAAATGCTTTTTTAACGCTTTTAGATCTTAATATAAATCTTTTGCTGCTCTTAGGCCGTGTAGCTTAATATTCTAGTGACTTACAGCTTTATTTAACTTTAAATACTAATTCTGAGTATTTTGAATCTTCTACACCCTAGGTATTTTAGAATGGCCATTTTGGACTAAGCTGGTAGTAGTAGCTATTGGTTTCACCGGTGGAATTCTTTTCATGTATGTTCAATGCAAAGTTTATGTACAGCTGTGGAAAAGACTTAAAGCTTATAATCGTGTGATATATGTACAGAACTGCCCAGATACAAGCAAAAGGAGCAGATTAGAAAAACCAAATGCTGAATGCTCAAGTATCCTTAGAAGCCATCATACAGAGACTACCAGTTCAAATTGCACAGAAACTGAAAATGTGAATGCTAATATTCTTCATATTTGACATGCTTTTTCTTGAAGATTTGGATCAGCATTATTTACTATTTCCAGATATTTAAGACCAAGTTTGTAGAAATATTCTTCTTTACCAAAGCATCAATCAGAAGATAAATCAGAGAAAGTCTGCTTGAATGATATATAAATGAAATTGAACATTATTTTGTCTCCATTTTAAAACAATTCCGTTTTGGTGTCTTTTTTCTATCATTCTCAAATATGTCTTGGTTACATTAAGAATTAAAGTGTCTTTTCTCTATTATATGAAACTATTAAATGAGATACAAAGGAGGAAACACATGCTTTTACATAAACATACTATTATACATACCTCTCTAGTGTACAAGGCCCCATTTACATCTCTTCATATTGTAAATAATATGTAGTTCTAGTATTGCTGTAAAGAATTTGCTTAAACTGTATCTGTGAACTGTATCACACTCAGGGTAGGGTATGTCAAAGCATGAAGCACTTTTAATTGTTCTTAAATTATAACAAAATTGAAACAATCTTAGTTCAGTGTGTTCCTTTCCTGAAATCACATTAATATATAGGCCTGACCATTTGCCTTAAAACGAGGTTTGTACTAAAAAGCTCCTCAAATGTTCTTAACTCTAACAATAAATATTTTCTTGACATTTTGTTTGTTTTCCCTTTTTAAAAAAATACTGCATATGTTGATTGTGGAACAGAAAATAATGAAATTACAAACATATTAAAAGTGATTGTATTCTCTGTGATATTAGAATAAGCTAATTGATATGATTTTAACAAGAAAGAATTTAGTGCTGCATTTTAAGCATATTTTATATATGTGTACTTATCTTCAAGTCAGCCTTGACTGCTAGTGATTGCATTGGCAACCTTTTTGGAAGTGGTTGCTCTTGCCTCATTCCTCAGGGTCTAGCTTAAAGTCATCAGCTGGTTTCTGGGCCTGAAACAGGGCTAAAATTCCAAGTCTTTATCACTACCTGGCTCTTTCTACATTGCACCTGCTTGTAATGTATTTGAAGTACAATGCTGTATCTGACATACTTCCATCTGAGAATTTAAAGCAGGTTTAACAAGAATTGGTACATTTTATCAATTCTAATTAAATGTACTTGTAAGGTTCTGCCTTGCCAGCCTTCTCAAGAAAGCAGAACTCTTGAAACAAACAGCATTTCAAAAGGAACTTTTATTGGAAGACATTGATAGCAGATAAGAGTATAGGCAGAATCTGAATTTTGCATGCTGGAGCATTAGGTCAAACTGCTCCTTTTTAGGCCCCTTCCAATGTCCAGTTCATCTTTGAGCCAATCGCAAGGTGCGAAGATGTGAGAAGATTTGGGCTGAGGTGATAACAGACAGTTCCCAGGCACAATGATCTTGCTCCTACAGTGGTGAGACAAAACAGATGGCCCAAGACACATTCTTTCTCCACTCCTAACATCCCAAAGGTAGATCAAAGCAGAGAACAAGAACAAAGGAACATCCCATGCAAGTGTACCAAGAATCCTCTCCCCTTCCTCCAGAATGGCAAGTTCCCAATAGAGATCAAGGGGACCGGACAGTGCTTTAACTGTCTTGGAATACCCAAAATGTTAATAATAAGAAATTGAAGTTTTATGGCTTTGTTTCTTTCTTTCTTGAATTTCTAGGTCACCCTAGTCCAAAACTTTTCTGAGCAGCTTCACAAATTACAAGAAACATTATGCAACATTACATAAAAATAACCATAATCTGAGGGACAATGTAACCACCAATTATATCACCCAGAAGGCCTGGAGGAAGGATTTTGGCAGAACTTTGTAAGATTGCTTGAAGGCAGACAAGGTGGGGACCATATGAATAATTAGTTAAAAAAATTAATTGGCCACTGTCTAAATGTGGACAGTTAGCTTTTTTGGCAAAAAATGGACACACACAACACATATCTTCTGCAAGATAGGTTCCAGATAGATTCTGGTCCACATTTGGTTTGATTGGACCAATTTAACCTATCCACAGTCGCTATGGAAATTCAAATTAGCAGCTGTAGCTTAAACTTGCTTGGATTGCAATCTAAATCAAAGAGAAGAACATCCAATAGCATTCTGTCTTTCACTTATAATGAGCAAGATGAACTTTCCTTCCATATCTATAGGTGGTAGAAAGATTTACAGAGCATATATAAGCAGATAATCTGGTACTGCAATGTCAGATATGCTAACTGGTGGTGAGAAAAGGCAGCACTGCAACTTGTACTTAATCTCAGACTTTTAGTAGACAAGATCTATGGTTGGTTGTAATACCTTGATTTATGACTAAAATTGGTATGGGAACTTGCTAAGCAATGCAGTTGTTAATAGTCACAGTTTATTTACAACTTTCCCCCCATAATCATTAAGCAAATTTCTGCAGCTAAGAAACGGGCTCTGTATTGACATGCACATCGCCCCCGGCCTCATTTCACTGTCAGAGATCTTCAGGAAAAGCCTCTGCAGTTGATCTGGAGCTCTGTTATTGGCTTTACCTTTTGTTTTTTTGTGATAACATATCCTGAAAGATAAACACCCATCAGAAAGCTGTAACAGAAATGCGTAAAAGAACATCAGATAATGTTCTGAGGAAAGGAAAAGGAAGCCTTGCCCTTTAAGGAAAAAGGCAAAGTTCTTTCCTTTGTGGATTCAAATTTCCCAGCTGGGAAATTTTACTGCAAAATCATTTGGTCAGCTGCATTGGAAGCCAGAATCAGTTTATTAATAGGAAGGCAAATAAGAATAAACCCTACAGCATTCCTGAGATTAACAAGTGAGTAGGAAAACCCCTTTCTTATACACTTCAGGTTCTTTGATTTGTAAGTGAGAATCTTTGAAGTTTTTTTTCCTCCAAAAGTTTTATTAATTTTTAAAAAACAAACATACAGACCAAACACAAAACATAAAACATCTTTTTTGAAAGCAGCTTGATCCCGGGTTACATCTCTTCGTACAGACATAAATTCAAATTCATGCTCACTTTTATACACCATTCCATATCTTATTACCATTCTAGATTTTCTATATAGCTTCTCCCCTCTTTTCACTCTCTTAATTCTATTTTATTTATTTCATCTCAATTTAAATCATTATACTTATATCCTTTGTCTGTCCTGTTTCAACTGTCTATTATCTTTTCTCATTAACACAAAATTTCTCCTGTAATCACTGATTGGAGTATGACGCCTTTATATCTTTCCCCTAAGTTTAACACTTAATATAATACATAACTTTCATTTGGATTCTGCTTAGTACATTCTAAAGCTACACACTATATTTTTAAAAGAAGAAAAAATTATAAATATATAGTATAATTAAAACAACAATCCATACCAGTTAAACTCTATCGTTAAAATTAATATTCATTTAAATCTTAAACATTTTACACATTCATTTTCAAATAAGTCTCATGCTTCTATGGGAACCCTTATAAATTTTGCGTAATTACTTCCCCCCCCATTCCACTTATATTTTAAAACATGTAATTAAAATGTTCCCATTCCTTTTTAATTTAATTCTCTCATATTTCATTTCATTTATTTTGTTCAAAAAAGAAAAAGATTCACTAAATTACATTGAATATTTTATCCCATTTTATAATCATATGTTATTCCAATTTTCTAACATTATTTCTAATACAAATACAACAATACAGTCTATATGTACCTTTGCAGAATCTCTTTTTCAGTTATTATTTTTACCTATTATCTCTAAATAAATCCTGTTTCTTTACATCTTGTTTCAAACCTTTGTAGCTTCTCTTCTCTTCTCTTCCTTCCTCCCTTGCTTCTTCATGCCCTTTTTACCCCCTTGTCTCTCCATCTCCATTTCCCTCTTCTGTATTCCTTTTCTGTTGCCTTCTGACATTATATCCACTTTTCACCTTATTTTTCCCTTTTTTGGTTGTTTTTTTAGGTCTTAAATTCTCCATTCTCTTTCTCCTCTTTCCCCTTTCTTCCCCAGATAAAGTTACTTGTTCATTAAAGATGGCTTCTTCTTTGTCCCAATCTTCTTGTTCTTGTAGTTTCTCATAGGTAGAAATCGCCATTTCTAAAAAGTTGAAAACAGAGCCAAAAGAGCCCTTCCCTTCTTGTTCCTCTTCTTTATATTTTTTGAATTCAATTTTCAGTTCATCCACAAGTCATGCCATTATAAAAAAAAAATTTAAACAACCACCCAAGTATTTTTAATCATTAAAATATAATTTCCAAAAGTCCCAAAGTCACCAAGCAGTCCAAATACACACAAGCTGTTCCATTTAACACTTTTCTCTTTTTTCACTTTCTCTTCCTGGGGGTTACGATTCAGTTACAAAGTTCCAATTAAAATGTATCTTTTAGAAGTCTTATTACAATTTAACTTTCGATTCTTTTAAATTCCAAGCAATCTCCTCCAGTCAAATCATACTCTTTATTCTTTTCCTCTCCCTTCCCACTTGCAGCCAAAAATTTTTTTTTTCAATGTTCAGAAATCTTTATTACCCCCTTGGCTTTAATTTTCAGTTTAATTATCTGTTGATGCCAATGCGGGTTTTTCCGATTTCTCATTCATCTGCTGTCACCGTAAGGAAGGAGAGAGAAAAAACAAAATTTCCCTTTTCACTTTCATTCGCTGCTTCTGGATCTTCCTTGGGAACAATGAATCTTTTTTGAGATTTAAATTTAAATTCCAGGATATCTTGAATATTGCTTCTTATCCCGGTCAGCCATAACTTTCACTTCTTAGCTTCCTCCTGCACATACTTTTCCGGATGAGTGCTTCTTTGTGGCGGCCATTTCTGACCGCCGCTCTGCCGCCTTCAGAAAAGGGAGTTAAGCTAGCTGAGGAGGGGAGGTGCGGACTCCCCTCAAAACCCTGCTGGGTCTCCCCTGTCTTCAGCCACCTCTACGGGGTGACTTTAGTCCCGAAGCCGGCTGGGCTCGGGGCACTCCAGCGGTGAGCGCAAGCAGAAACCGCACACGATTGTGGATTCCTGCTGCCGCCGAAGCCCAGCAAACCGGAAGTCTAATCTTTGAAGTTTTTGATTTGTGTTCGTGTGATGAGTTCCTGTCTCGAGATTGGGATCTCTTCCTGGGATCTTGGTAAGAGTAATTGTTTTATAGTCCAATCTCTGTTTTTCCCTGATCCTTTGTAGCTATCAGTTTGCACCTGGTTGCAATATCCTGAGTTTCCTGCTATGCTGTTTCTTTTCACAAGTTTTTTTATAGCTTGCCAACTATTTGATTTCTATGAGAAAGGATCTTAGCTAATGTGTGTCCCATGCAAAGGTGGGGGCTAATGAAGCTGACCCTGCTTGTGTTTTCACCTCCTTTCTTTTAGGGGAATTTTCCTTCCCCTTCTAATGTTTTAAGATTTATTTTTCTTTTCCTAAGAGAGGGGTGAATCGTAACTTCCAACAGTTTTTTTTTAATATCTGGAAACTTTGACCTGGGGCACCTTAAAAAGAACACAAGTGTTGTGTACAGCTCAGAAGTTATGCTTCTATTTAAGGCTTTTGAAAGTGCATTTTTAAGACTGCAGCCTTGCTTCAGTCTGCTGTGGAACCTCTCAATCCTCTCACGTATGAGACTATGGGAAAAGACTGGGAAAAGGAGCCTTCTGTTGCAGTGCTTTCTGAGGGAGTTTCCCAAGTTGAGTGCCAGGCTTTGCAGTCATGGCAGTGAACAAACTTTTACAATCAGTGCAATTTTAGATTCATGATGTATCTCTATAGCCTACGAAATACAAACTTTTAAGCCATGTCAGGATGAACTGGGAATGAACAAAAGAGAAGGAAGATAAGAAATATTGTGTTTAATATTTTAAACCCACCAGTAAAATATAAAAGAAGGGCAATTGCCTCTCTGTCGTTTTAACTGCAAAGAACTACTCAAAGTGTTGGCAACTATCTTCAGCACATGCAGTTTAATTAAAAAGATTTAAGCCCACATTCGATGAGGAATCAAGGTTGGGAAATCTCTCAGTTCATTCAAAGAAATACAGATATCAGGACAACGTTGAATAGGGTAAAAAGGGAGAGGGATACGTTTTTCTGTGAAAAATATCCTTATAATTTCTTTCTTTTAGAATTCAAGCATGAATACCAAAAATCAAAACATAGGGCTTTTACCAGATAGCAAAAGATGGATTCACTGAAGTTATTTTTGGTCTGGGACTCTTCCCTTTAATAATCAATCCTTCACTGAAGCAAAAACAGAAATATATCCAATAAGCTATAGACATCTGCTATAAAAGTCACAAAAAACTGCCAAATTAATTCCTCAATGGGCCTATTGCCATGCAACACATAGCATCTCCAAGTAGAAAGACTAACAAAAGGTAACTTAAAAGAATCCACATGATTGGAGTGCTACATACATGACTTCTCCACTTCTACTATGGTCAAATAAAATATCCACCAACATTATCTGATCTCTGTTTATAATTCCCATTGCTATAGAAAGCTGAAAATTTGTCCATGTAGATGCGCTTTTTACAGCAGATTTCTAATTAGGCCCTTCAGGAAAATAAAAATAAGAAAAATGGTTCAAAATACAATTGAAATCCTGTCCTTTTTTGAAGAGCAGCAGCCTTGTGAAAAGTGATGGTTGTTGCAGAATGAGAATTGAGGAGGGTCACCTAGCAACAACCTGAACCTTAAATGAACCTGAAGTGAGGAATGTTTATTCCCACCAATAATGGCTGAAGATCCGGTCAAGTAGAAACCCCCATTGCCTTCTGTGTCCAAGCAATTCTTTCTACAGAACCTATTACTTCCTTAGAGACTTATCATCCAGACAATTTCACATAGTGCAAATGTATAGGATTCAGGCCTCATATTTCAACATCACTTTCTTTATCATTATCATGATCACCATCGTAGAACTCATTGGAAGCTTCTGGCCTGCAAGATATAATAAAGTTACATAGGGTAAGGAGATAATGTAGCAAAAATTAAGGATAAATATGGAATCTGCTTATTTAAAAAAATGCAACAAGCACATGGCTCTGAAAAGGAGCACTATGGCTATTAAACATCATTCCAAGAGTCCCAATCAATACATACTGATTTCTAGGAGGTAACTGCTGGAGTTTCTCTTGAGTATCAGGTTAAAATATACAGTTTTTATTTGAGGGACAAATGTAAAAACATGCCTGCTGTAATTATCTTCTGAACTTCTCTCTTCTGGATCAGGCTCATCTGTGCGATCATAGCTCAGAAGATCAGAAGGGACATCATGGATCTGGACACTAGGTGCATGATTCAGCATCTTCAAATTCTCAAATATTGTCTGCCGTATTTGATCTAAGTACTTCACACAAAACACAAAATGCAGAAAACTCTATCAAGCCAATTACTTCAACAAACATTATCAAATTCCTGTCATCATTTTTGTGGCCATCGAAGTTAAGCATAGTAACAAAATGAATGTACTATAAGGAACAGGCTTTAGTAAACAGAAGCACTAATAATGCATCTTTTGAAACTAATAATTAAAGGAGATATTTTGGAAAGGAGACAAATAAAGGAAAGGGTCATTTTGTCCATTTAACAGGAGATACTCACCTGCCTTGAATTCTGATTTTCAATTCTAGTGCTGA